TTATTTTATTAGCAAGATTTATACTGTTCTTTATATATATATATATATATATATATATAATAATAATAAACAAAATCCCAAATCACCTTATATGGATGGGTGGTAAAATATAGTAATTAGAATTAGTTGTTACAGGGAGTGAATATTATAGGAATATACTAGCTAATTAAGTTAAGCTTTCTGTTATGGAAATTTTATATATATATATATATATATATATATATATATATATATATATATATATTATTTATTTAAAAATATGATTCCAACACGCTACATAGAGTTCTCATGTTTCAAAACAAGAGCCGAAAACTTCAATATAATTATCTGAATTAAATTGAATTAAAGTACTAATTCTAATTTAAAGTACTAAATTTAATTCAAATTTAATTAAAAAAATTTAATTCAAATAATTATATTGAAGTTTTCGGCTCTTGTTGTTTTGAAACATTAGAAGTCTTATGTAGCGTGTTGGGATCATATTTTTAAATAAATAATTATATTTATGCTCTACTTTTGTATCGAGCACTATTTTTTAAAAATAATAACAAGAATACTAAAGAACTTTGGATTATTTACCGAACGAGTTCTTTCCTATTTTATATATATATATATATATATATATATGTATATGTTGGGTTTACCAAATACAAATGGACGGCCTCAGTATTACATACTGTTTGTTTCAGATACTTAACGAAACATTTAGAGTGAAAAAGAGAAAAGAAAATAACAGCTACGATGTATTCGGAAGCAGATAAATTAGTGTTTATTTTCTAGAAAGAGAACATCTTAACAAAGTGTAGATATGTGTTTCATGTCTTCCTTCCGACATTGGAAAAAGAAAGCAAGTGTTTGTTGCAAAAAGAGTCCTTACTCATGTTCAACACGTCATGGTGCGAGAGACTGTGTTTGCCCACACGTCAAGAAATCCTCTCTTTGCGGCGTCTACCCAGAAACCATTCTCTGCACAGGCGGAATTTCACTGACTGGCCGTTAAGACATAAAATGACAGGCCAAGCACAGGGCTAACAGGGAAGAGGTAAGAAGGTTAAACCAATAATGTAACAATGAACCAGATGTATATTAGCAAGTATGGAAAAGAGAAATAATAAAGGTCTTACTTGACTTGACTATCAATGAAAGAGAAAAATCAATGAGGCAAGACAGTCAAGTAAGACCTTCATTCAGCGAAGGAAAAGCTGGTGTATACATACTGTGGTTTTGATGAATTGGCTCCAACTGGCCAGTCGACTTACATATTCCGCCTCTCGCCAGACCTGACATGTCGCATTCTATAGGTTTTTTAACATCTACATAAATTATATCTAAATCAAGGGTGGAGAACTAAGTTTTCGTAAGGCTGCAGGACAATATTAAATCTAAAATTGCTATTTATCTGTTTTTTCATCGAATTTCTCTATTATTCCATTTCTTCCTCGTTTATGTTTGATGTTGGGCCGCCATCATTTTCTTTCGTTTACTACAAATGTTGCTCGTCTGATCTGGATGGAAGTAATGAGTGGAGATCTTGATTTATGAGAAGAAAGATGAAAATTAATTTCACTTAAAATTTTTATTTGATGATTTTTATTTTCTTTCAAATTAACAATATTACATGAGTGCAATCTGATCGTAACAAGTGAAATAGAAACTTCTTTTCACATTCAAATTCAGTCAGTTCTATTTTTCTTTTTAGTTCATTTCATAGAAGTAGTCAATATCTATAATACATATTTCTTAACTCATCTTCAATATGAAAGAATCCATTCTTTTTTTTTTTACTTCAAGGAGGTTACTGGGTGTTACGGATACAGACCGTAACAGATAGATAAATAGATCAAAGAGAAAAGAAAGAATATTGCTTCGCCTATGCTTTACCATCAATACTTTTAATATATGAAATGCTGGTTGGGCATATCAGCGACTATATACTTGTAGATATTAGATGGATGTGAAATGTCTGAAATAAAGGCAGATGTGAACAGACTGATATCTACCTATCTCAGTCATTTCATATCTATCTATCTACCTCATTTCTCTCATATCTCTCTATTTCATTCTTCTTATATATATATATATTTATTAAAAATATCTATCTATCTATCTATCTATCTATCTATCTATCTATATATATATATATATATATATATATGTGTGTGTGTGTGTTTGTGTGTGTGTGTGTCTGTATAAGAAGAATAAATACAGATAGAGAGATAGAGATATGAGAGGAAATGACTGATAGATAGATAGATAAGATAGATAGATGATAGATATGATGAATAGATAGATAGATAGATAGATAGATAGATAGATAGATAGATAGATAGATAGATATTGTTCAAATAAATAAATATATATAGATAATTTTATGTCTAAATTAGATATTTGAAAGATATATATATATATATATATATATATATATTATGAAATATATATATATATATAGATAGATAGAATAGATATAGATATATATATATAAATAAATAAATATATATAT